TGAATTTATGGTCAAAGAAATCATATAAAGCTAGGATATTTCACTTACACAAGTAATAACAATGACAAACATGGCATTTGACTGCTTTAGAATCAGACTTGCAAACAATGTACATGATTGATATAACGTGATACATGATTGAAAATAATAAGAAATATTTCCTGGCCCCTTCTGCAGCTCATTCATAAACAAAGTTACTGCAAGAAGAAAGTAAACAGGGTAAGCTTTTGACAATAAGTAGATAACTGAAATATTAAGTGAAAGCGATTTTACCGTACCATTTCTTTTTGCTGCCTTCTTTGCTCTGCGATTGATTGTTCTCAGCCTTAACTTGCGCGCCCTTCTTTCTGTAATTTCATTCAAGTTGTTATTTTGTAGCAAGTTTGTAGTTACTCTTAAAGACATTTACTCTTATGTCTTACTACCTACCTTCTGGTGTTTCTGTAGCTGCTACTGCTTGTGGAGCTGAAAAATAAAATTTGACAGAGTCTGAAAATTGAACATAATTTTAGTTGGGAAAGTGTAACCATGGAAATGTGTGTGCTATAAGCATTTTCCATTTGAACCCACCTTGGTTGCTGCTGGCTGAGTTGCATTTTGGATCTGGACAACAAAATGATTCAGAAGTTAGTGCATACCAATTTTATTCAAAGTACAGTAACTAGGTAGTCAACTGAAATATCAAGTGAAAGAGATTTTACCGTACCATTTCTTTTTGCTGCACTCTTTGCCCTCCGATTGATAGTTCTCAGCCGCTTCTTGCGCGCCTCTCTTTCTGTAATTTCATTCAAGTTGTTACTTTTGCAGAAGCTTGTAGTACTCTAAAAGACAGTTACTCTTATGCCTTACTACCTACCTGCTGGTGTCACTGGAGTGTTTCTTGCTGCTTGTGGAGCTGAAAAATAAAATTGGACAGCATACATTAGCTGTATGATTTAACTTCTATCATGTAATTGAACTTAAACTTTGTTGCAGAAACCCAAGGGTAATCAAAAGTCACAGCTCACCCTCTAGGGGACCTTGCATTCCCACATTATGGGGCAGCTCCATTTCAATGTCTGCCTCCAAGAGCACAGGATCTGAAAGAAGAATAAAGTGCTCAATTAGTTTGTGAAAGAAGATCTGGGAGGATTTCAGGCAGTCTGAGCACAGTATGTATGCTTTGATTTCTTACCTTCCTCACAGCTTCCAGCTAAGTCTAGATCAACATAGAAATAAATCATACATTAATTTTTTTATTTTTTTAAATTTTACAGTGCATTTCAACATTCCTTCAAAGGAGAATATCACTGCTCACCTTCAAACAGCGCAGGTGCTGGCCACGCTTCGTGCTCCATTGAGAAGTCTGTCTCCAAGAGCACAGGATATGCTGAAAGAAGAATAAAGCAATTAGTTTGTGAAAGAAGATCTGGGAGGATTTCAGGCAGTTCCAAACACAGTATGTATGCTTTGATTTCTTACCTTCCTCACAGCTTCCAGCTAAGTCTAGATCAATAACATAGAAATATCATACATTAATTTTCTTTTTAAATTTTACAGTGCATTTCATCATTCCTTCAAAAGAGAATATCACCTGCTTACCTTCAAATAGCGCAGGTGCTGGCCACCCTTCCTGCTCCATTTGACATGCCACCTGAGAGTCTGAAAATTCAACAAAAGTTTAGTTGGGAAAGTGTAACCGTGGAAATGTGTGGTGTGTGCTATAAGCATTTTCCATTTGAACCCACCTTGGTAGGTGCTGCTGCTGGCTGAGCTGCATTGTTGATCTGGATAACAAAATTAAACAATAAGTATGCATATTTGTTAACCTTTGTTTTTTTCTTCAGAATTTCAGCTCACCAGGAGATGCTGTCTCTGGTGGAAAGCCACAGTTGTAGGGGCAGCCACATCCGCAACCTGTCAAGAAGTGGAAATGTTATTTTTTGAGGTAATTGATACATGGGGGCCAGATATGGGAAGACCCATCTTAATTTTCACTAGTCAAAACCATGTAATATTTTATTCCTTTCATGAAGTTGGATCATAAGCAGAGATTGGCAGAAGTAACTAAAGCATTCTGCTCTTTTAAAAGATGTTTTGTCTTACTCTTGCCTTGCCCCTCATTTTCTTAAGGGAAGACTATACTGAAATAAACATCTCAATGATTATATGAGACCTCTTTAGGAATGTTATTTTTATCTTCAGTTTGATGAAAAACTGTTAAAAAACGTTGTATGGGGTCTGTAAGCTGAACCGATTAAAGGTTACAGTGCTTGTTGATTCTCTGCAAGGTTCTACTATAACTGTTTCTTGCGTTCCAAAATTGAACGTAGAAGGCTGAGGTAAATATTTTTGAAATCAGAAAAGATCAAGGAACAACGTCTCTGAGCCAGATTTGCACTATTACATCCGATTCTCAGTTTTATAATCTGGACCATTTTAACAATTTTAAAAGTTCAAAAATTAACAAAAAATATAGCTTTTAAATCCAAAAATTCAGATAGATAATAAAAGACCTTGTAGAAAACCTTTCAAAACATAAAACCTGAGATGATCAACTCCGGAACATAAAATTTGGAACGCAAGGAAGTTTTGGGGCATTAAAAAAAAATAGAACCAATACTAGTATTTAAAGTTCATGAAAGCATACTTAAAAATATGTTATTTGGTCCTATTGAGGGTCACTAATTGTCCATAGGACCAAGTTACAAATAACAGAATAAAATTTAAAATTGACTGTATAGATGGAACACTTCCCACACAAAGTTCCAGAAAAGGTGGTTTTTGTACAAAATCACCATATTTTCAGTATAGTCTCCCCTTTAGCAACCTATTCCAAGTTGTATCTTACCTACATGGGACTCCTCCAAAAGTTGTCTTGTTGTGAGTGATGGATCTGGAAACACAGGAAAAGGAATCTAAAAGTAAATATAATTTCATGGTAGCATATCTCAGTCTATTATTTACTCACAGAGCTTCTTCAGTCTGTCAAAATACCAGACTTTTGAAAAATCTCCACTGTCACTGTCACTATCAATTTCTATTTTAATTATTTCAGGGTCGTTGCCATTATCATTCTCTATTTCAATTATTTCAAGGTCATTGTCATTATCAGAGATTTTATCATCATAATTTATCTCATGTTCAGGCTCGTCATCATCTTCTATTTT